GGCGGAGCATCACCTCGGCGCCGTACCTCGCCGTCGTGCCGTTGTCCACCATGAGGAAGTAGGCGTGGCGGTTGTTGAGCACCGCCATCCGGGAGCGCGGCGACGCGATGGCGTGGTACGGCACCTCGCGCCCGCGCGCCACCAGCTCCCGGTTGCCCTCGACGATGCCCCAGGGCGCGATGCCGATGGACACGACGCGCCCCGGCCCGCGCTGCGTCCGCTCCGAGACGAGCGCGTCGCCGACCTGACGCGTCACCCCTGTCAGACCATCAGATACGGCTTTAGTACCGACCCCCGCCGCCCGCCCACGCCGATGCACTCTACTCTGGAAACCCGAGTGTGTACTTGAATGCAGTATATTCTGCATACCTACATGTATGCAGAATATTCTGTGTACTTGGTCAAGTACACACTAAGTCTCCTGCATAAATGTATGGAGGTTTTAGTGTGTACTTGACCAAGTACACAGAATATTCTGCATATCATGTAGGTATGCAGAATATTCTGCATTCAAGTGATTCAAGTACACACTTGGGTTTCCAGAGTACACTACTTCTTCCTTCCCGGAATCACTATTGTTAATTTTTACTATATTTTTTTTTCGAGCCGTTCTTTCATACTAAGGAACATTTGTGCAGAAGCCGCTGCTTTCAAACTGAGCTTCAGTGCCCACCTCAATATTAATTTACTAAAGGAGAACTTTTTTATTGGAAAGTTAAAAATTTGACTTTTTCTCAAAAAAGAAAAAGCCCTCAGCAGATCTTTACTTCAACGGTAGAGCAAACATGAAAACAACGACGTCTGAAGAGTCTCTCTAACTGGTAGTATTATGATAAGCCCTCCCTCCTCACCCGTATTCGTGCCGCTGGTGAAGATCCAGGCGCCGGTGGTCTTGGCCGCCCTCAGCAGGCCCTTCCGCAGCACCTAGGGGGGGAAGCACGCCAAACAATGGGATTGGTTTCGCCAGGCTTCGCACTGCTACAGAAAGTTATGCGCGCATTATTCTACAAGCAACAACGAGACAAAGATAGAGAGAAAGGGAAGGGAAACAAAACAATAATATTTGTTTCACAGGCCGTGCACGGACTGCGCCGTTTTATTCTCGTTTATTGAGGGACTGTGATAGAGTACACCCAGAAAAACAGTTTCTTGATTTAAGTGCAAGCTGACACAAGATGCAATTCACCATTAAAAAAACAAGTCAATTTTGAAGATTTTTCTCTTATCCGAAAGAAAATTTTAGCTTTGTTTCAAGAGTAAATTTGATCTTGTGTCAGCGTGCACTTGAAACAAGGAAAAATTTACTTGAAACAAGAAACGATTTTTCTGGGTGTACTCGGAAAACTGAATCGCACCCCTCAAACAACAAGAGCATAACGAGAGGTTTGTTGTAGGGTTGGAAGCCCTGAAAAGTTTCCGGAAAATTTCAGGAAAACTTCTGGAAAAGACGGAAAATTTCCGTGAAAAAACCAAAATTTTCCAAGATTTTGGAAAGTTTTCCGTTATTTTCCGTATAATAGTTTCGGAAAATTTTCTGAAATTTTCCGGAAAATTTTGGAAATTTCCAACCCTAGTTTGTTGTTGTTGTTGTCATCATTACCTTCTTGAGCCTCGGCTGCAGCTCGAAGTTGGCCTTGCCGCCGTGCACGGTGATGAGCAGCTTGGGCAGCTCGAGGCTCCACTCGCGCGTGAAGAGCTGCAGGATCTGGTCCGGGCGCGTGTCGTGCGCCAGGCGCACGTACTGCGCCTTGAGCGAGTGCGGCCCGCCCTGGAACTCGACCGTGCCGTACGCGTCCGTGGGCGACGACACGGTGCAGCGGGCCGGGGACCACGCCTCCGGCGGCGACGCGTCGGCCGACGAGGAGGCGCCCGCCCGGTGCTGGTCCGAGGGCAGGCCGCAGTAGCATCTGACAACAAAAACGACAAAAAATACAAATATAACTAACAACATTCTTACTGTTGAAAAATAAGAGTCGAAGGTTTACGGGAATATTTTGCATAATGGTCATTGCAAAATAATAATTTAAAACTTGTACATTTACAAGCACTATATTTCGTATTGTGACTTAGAATTAAAATTTTACAACATGTTTCATGAATAAAAGTTATACAGTAAATTTACGAGGATATTTTTCTTGGTGTTAATGTTGCGCACCCCGAAAAAAAATTCTGATAGGGGCAGTCGTACTGTCCAAAACTATTATTTACACAAGGGAAACATGGAACAGAAAATTAACTTTGTACGCGAGCAATGTATCCGTTTCCTTTAGCCTTATTCATCACCCGAATAATTATTTTGGTGGCATTATTCAGAAAACTTTCTGTGTGCATTCGTCATTCGCCGCGTCACGGCGGCAGCTCAGCAGCCTGCCCGCGAACTCTCATAGCGCCTGGTAGGTAGGCAACTTCTTGCATGCATTGCATGCGTGTACCGCGGGCTGGCCTACCCCGAGTCTCGCAGGCGACTAGCTCTACACGTCTCCTCCCCCTTCGTCATTTTCCGTTGATGATGAAATAATGATTCCGAGAAAAAGACGCGGGCATCATTTTTTCCTTTCCTAATAAGGCACGTCTCCCCTCCACGCTCGCGTTCAGGGGCCAGTGTTAAGCGGGAGGTGCTTTGGCTGGCGCTTGGGTATCCTTCGCTGCTCGGCTGTGCGAGTTTTGGGAGCGCGCTTGGGCCGCACAAAAGACTTCTGACGCAGTTTGCAGCGGGGGGCCTGGAGGAAGAAGGGGCGGGGCTAGTACACGAGCTTACTCAACGACAAGCAGCCGGGGCACCACGCCTCGGCAACGGCACTCGGTAGAGCCAACACAAACTCTCGCGAGCAGCACACAAATGATTTAAGCAGGGCAGAGTTTAAGAGGCTGGCGTGGCGTCGTCGTCGGGATCCTCCTGGAGGCGGAGCGGCGCTCGGGGCGCGGAAAGGCCGTCGTCTCCATGACGGCGGAGGAGGCAGGCGAACAAAGGCGCAAGTTCGCCGCGCACCGCGAGGGCAGGCTTTCAGCCAATCACACTTCGGATGTGAAGAAGAAATTTCACGACACCAGGATGTAAACATTCAGATCATGGACATAGGAAAAACTGCTGCATGCGTCACATGATGTGAATTTTAAGACGCCATTTCTTTTAACAGTGTATGTACATGTGTTTGCGAAATATCACTCGCACGGAGAGGTAAAGTCGCCCCACGAACGGATAAGTCTCGTCAGTAGTATAAGGAGGGTGTGTATCGGTATCGGTATGTATTCTGTCCTCAGTAAAAAAAGACTTATCCTCCCATATCGACCGAGAAACCTCTCAGGACGTGTTTTTTTCTTCCAGCGCTGCAGCTGCCCTCCCCCTCCCCCTTTCCTCCCCGAGCCCGAGGCATGCACATGTTTGTTTTATCATCCATCTTTTCAGTAGCCGCGTCACGAACGCTCCGCGCCCGGCGGTCGCCTCCAAAGCAGGCCATTGGCCAGGTGCAACACGTGAAGCAGGCGTGGGGGGCGATCGAAGAGCGTGGCCAGGGGGCGGCCAAGCAGCAGGACGGCAGGTTAAGTGCACACTAGGTGGAAATTTTCTGGGAAATTTCCGAAAAATTAAGGTAGACATAAGCATGTGTACTAAGGTAGACATAAGCATGTCTACTTTTTTAATAAAAATAGACATACCATGCGGGAAGGCCACCACCTCGTGGTGATTACACAGGATTCCGTGATTACAGGGATTACACGTGAATTTGAAGGGATGACACATGAATTTTGTTGCTGGGGCTAAAACCATTAAATTTGGATAATTATGTGAAGTGTAGTGATAATTTTACATTATCCAAATTTAATGGTTTTAGCCCCCGAAACAACTGCTAACACGCACGACGACACACATAAGGAGAGGAGAGGAGAGGAGAGAGAGAGAGAGAGAGAGAGAGAGAGAGAGAGAGAGGGG